CATGTTTGAGAGTATCTGGAAAGAAAGGGATAAACTCAAGACACTAATGGCTTCAGTGAACAGATTGCCCACGGGGAGCTACGTTGGCATGACATGAGCTGACCTTGTCTGGTTACCTAATCCTTGGTACGTCATTAGAGATGCTCAAAGCATGCATGTAAGTATAAGGACAGGAATGGACTCCAGTGGAAGGTGATAAATACTAACAGCAAGAGGAAGTATGAACAAAGAGAACGCTACTGTTCTTTCCCAAGTCCGCTGGGGCGAAAGGACATTGGGGTTACACAGACCTGCATACGTGTGTTCAGTTAAATTCCCAACAACTATACATACAGACATGAGAGCTAGAAATGGAAAAGGAAATAGCAAGGAAAGAAAAGGCAGTAAAACAAGCAGTACTCTTGTTTGGTTCACTTACACACTAATGACTTGTTTACTACATTTTATTTTTTGAGATAAAATTTTACTACATAACCAGACTTGTGATCTTTCAGCCTCCCAAATGCTGGGATTGCAGGGCCCAGCAAGCCCCATTTCTCAACTCAACACTTAATGTTCAATCAACGACTGAGGCAAGCCTGTTAAAAACACGTCAACAGTGAATTCATCCCCCATAGGAAGGGTTCCATAAAGGAGGCTAACTCTCGGGCCGCCAGGGAACCGCTCTTTCCATCCTCAAGGCTGGTAGTCAGCTTGAAAGCCCTACAGCCTTCACAACCTTATACAAATGCCAAACACCTCTTATAAAAGGTTCTAGGAGCCAGGCATGGTGGCACAGGCCTTTAATCCCAGCCTGGTCTATATAGTGAGTCCTAGAACAGCTAGGACTATGTAGTAAGACCCTGTCTCAAAAAAAAAAAAAAGAAAAAAAAAGAAAAAAGAAAGGAAGGAAGGAAAGAAGGAAGACAGACAGAAAGAAAGAAAGAAAGATAGATAGAAAGAAAGAAAGAAAGAAAGAAAATTCTAAGCTTTTTGAGAGACTTTGGATGCCAGGTCCCTTCCCTGTGAACCAAAAGAGAGCTCACCCAAAAGTTGGACTGATGCCAGGTGAGAACAATCTGGAATGACCTGCCCTACAGTCAACTAGCCAATCAGGTTTACTGGATTTCACTGAATCTAAGAAACAATCCATTTTTGGAAGCACCACCATTTCCTATGCAATTAAGAAGAATGAAACCTTGCTAACTAAACTGTGACCTGACATCTACCTCAAGATTTATCCTAAATTTTTTGTTTTGTTTTGTTTTCTGAGACAGGGTTTCTCTGTAGCTTTGGAGCCTGTCCTGGAACTCGCTTTGTAAACCAGGTTGGCCTCGAACTCACAGAGATCTGCTAGACTCTCCCCCCCCCCCGTGTGCTGGGATTAAAGGTGTGTGTGCCACCACTGCTTGGCTCCATTTATCCTGCTTTTTAAAGATGTTTAGATTTGAAGAAATGTGGATAGGCAGTAGATGAAATGCGGTAATTTCCAATACACCAGTAGTCGCAGGCCCACCCCGTTTCCACACTGTGACTCTCTGTTAAACAAATGTAGAAAAGGGTCCTCCTGTGCTAGATGGGGAAAACAAGACCCCACAGAGAGCCCTTGTGTCTCTATAAACTCACTTCTTTACCGGACTCTTACTCTCCCTTTCACAGCATCTGAATTATTTGGTTAGCTGTTCTTTTAAGTATGATTTGAAGATGATTTATTTTTGTCTAATGAGCAGTGAGATGTTCAGAGCAAGTGAGGCATGGGGAGGTCTGTACTTTCTTTTTTAGGATCCTGGAATCCTGCCACCGACATCCAAGGAGCTTGATGTGGACTACTAGGTGACAAAGCACTTGTGACCCAGGCATTCTGACAGTCAGTCCAACCCATCAGTCCCAAGTCATGCAAATGAGGTCCACTTTGATCTTCCATTTCCCTTCAGAAAAGCCATGTGCTTGCAGATGCCACTGAGATGGGCCAAACTAGGCCACCCAACCAACCTACAGAATTTTGAGCTAGATAAATGGTTGGTTATTTTGTTGCTCTGTTTTGCTTTTAATTCCTCAAGGGTTTGGTGGTTTGACACGGTCAAAGCGCACTCAAACCTAAGCAGGTACTGGAAGTAATGCACTAGCCCAGGACAGTCTAAGACGTTTGTGGCATGCAGATGGAAACCCCTTGTAAGCTGCTCGGTCTGTAGCAGTCTGTCTCAGAAGCCCGAATGGACTAAGGCAGAAAGAGAGGACAGAAGAAAGATTTGGTCCATTTTCAAGCAAAACTTGCAATATAGAAAAGTAAGGAATTTCTGGATTATAAAACAAAAACTTTCTTGTCTATAATCTCTCATAGCCATAAAAGACGCTCAAAGTAACAAACAAACTCCGGATAAATATGTACTACTACTACTATTACTACTTCAACTACTAAGTAATAGTAATAATAGAGACTGTGTTGTTAGGCCCTTCTGGGCTTTAGAAAGTCAGCAGTCAGGGCTAGTGAGATGACCCAGCAGGCCAAGGTTGATGACCTCAGTTCCATCCCTGGGACCCACATGCTGGAAGGAGAGAACCAGCTTTTGCGAGTTGCCTTCTGACGTCCGCACGTACACTGTGGCGTGTGCTTATACAAACACGCATACACACAAATAAACAATCATTTAGAAAGTCACTAGTTAGCAAGCAAACACTGCCCCCCCCAGCCTCACCCCACAAGGCAACATTTAGCTTCTTTGGGTATCTCTAGAAGCTTTTTGCAGTGAACAGAAAGACTACAAGACCCTTGAAGAGAAACTCTGGTATATTGTGTTGGCGAGGGGTAGGTGTTCCGCTTGGTACAGAAAGGGATGGGATCATAGAGAGACGCCACACTGGAGGGTCATGTTCTGCACTCTCCTACTCTACCTTGTCCCAGGAAGATTATTGTTGGAGGGAAGAGTCCAACAAAACCAGTCCTGTATGGGTCAGAATGACAAAACATAGTCACACAGGAGAGACTTATGATGGATGGAGGCTGATCTACCGTGTCTAAGGAGAGTGTGTCTCTTTCCATTTCCCATCTCCCTATTCCCTAACGCTGAGATTTAGCGGATAGAGCACTCAGGGGAGACAGTTATTAAAAAAGAGACGCACTCAGTCAGGGGCACTGTGGTGATTAATTTTGTGCGCCAACTCAGTTATGTTACAGCCGAGCATTCGAATGTTTATCTAGATGTGACTGGGGCCGTATCACGCAACAGTCTTTTAATCCAAAAGCAATAAGGTTAAGAAAAATCAGCTTAGACAAGCTGGGATGGGGAGACCGAGTCGGAGATGCTTGAAGGGCAGAGCCAAGGCTCCCCTGGTGAGGGCATTCTTGCCAAGGGATTCTGAGCTATCACGTTGGCAGTCTGCCTAGGTTTGCAGCTGGCAAGGCAACCCCCAAGCACACACAACGATGCTATTCTTATTAATGTTTAACCTATTTGTTTATCGGATTGAACCCCAACTGGAAGAGGTTAAGAGAAGTTTCCTGAGACAGAGTCATTTACTGGACAAAATGTGCTTGACAAATTGGGACTAGATGAGCCCAGATGATAATATCCTTCTCTTTGACAAGACGTCCTACTCTGTAGGGTGGGCAGTCCCCCCAACCCCAGATGATGTCACTAGGAAGGCACGAGTAAGGAGCTGGGGATCAGCATATGACTAGCCACAAGGGAACTCTGTGAGGGTGAAAAACAAGACACTTGAGAATCAGAACTGACATGAAAGAGAGAGGCTTTTAGAGGAAACAGAGCCAGTGACCAGAGAGAAGACAAAGCAAGCATTCTAGAGGGAACTACACAGAAGGAGGCACAGGGCTTCGAGTTATAAGAGAAGCCCTGTGAGGTGCAGGAGCAGTGTTGTGATAGAGACAGACACGGGACACCAAACTTTGGGGGACAATATCAGGGGACCTAGACAAGATAACAGAGGCTAAATGTTTCCTGGTGAGATTCTCCCCTGAAAAAGAAAGGTCTACTTTTACATTGCTAGTCCATTGTACCCATCCTCCATAAACCCCAACAATGCTCATGGAAGCAGGCAATCAAACCTGAACATGGCTTGCAGGCATCCAGCTAAGGCCAGGGGAGGGGCAGAAGCCCTTCCCTGCACCAGTGCTGGGTTAGAAACATAGGGAAGGGCCCAAGACTCCTGGAGGTATTTCACTTAAGTTCTAACACCTAATGTAGACAGGAATGGGTTCTTCTAATCCATGCTTCTTAATGATTTTTTTAAATATTTATTTACTTATTATGTATACAGTATTCTGCAGGCCAGAAGAGGGCACCAGACCTCATTATAGATGGTTGTGAGCCACCATGTGGTTGCTGGGAATTGAACTCAGGACCTTTGGAAGAGCAGGCAATGCTCTTAACCACTGAGCCATCTCTCCAGCCCCTGCTTCTTAATGATTTAAAAGCTAATTTAAATTATGTGTATTATGTGGGACGAGGCTGCATGAATATGTATGTACATGAGTACAGCTGTCTGAGGGGGTCAGAGGTGTCAGATCCCCCTTGAGCTGGAGTTTTAGGAAGTTGTCCCTGTTATTGATGTCAGGATGTTATTGATGTCCCCTACCTCTTTACTCATGAACAGCAGAACCCACACCCCAGAGGTAATGGTCATGCTCCTGGAGTAGGAGATCCAGTCCAGCAGGAGGTTGTACTGCCTTAGAATAGGGAATTCCTGAGTCCTTCCTGCTCCTCCTGAATCATGACCCAGTAAATGCAGCCCCAGCAGGCCTGCTTGGTGGGGCATGCTCACTTCATTTTGTTTGCTTGACCAGACTTAAGGTCATAGATTGCACCCAGGAAATACTCTTCTGTCCTCTGCCATGTTTGCAGGCACAGACACAGCATGGGAAGAGGGATTTTTAGGATTAATGTGTACTGATCTGCTGGGATCCTGTGGGCTCAGTGAGCATGGGACTCTGGAGGCGACAGGGATGGCTCTGCTAATCAGAAGAGTCAGTAGGATGCACAAATGGAAAGAAATCTCCAACAAGACAATGCTAAGGATCATTTATTTTGGACACACAGAATAGGAAGCAGTCACAACATTATAGGTTTTCATCTTTTAAGGGTGCAATTCGAGGGCAAGAAAGTAGCAGGCATGGGTTCCGTGGATTCAGAAAAAAATCTTCCAGAGGTGCTTATGAGTACAGAATCGAATTCCTCTTTCCACCGTCTGCCATCCATCTACAATACAAATTTGATCATGATTTTCATCTGTTTAGGAAGATCCAGCCGCTCAGTCCTCACGCTATGCTGGGCAGCTCATTACTGTTTGGATGTGGCCTTGTTGTCCTGTTCCCACCTTCACCTCCACCCCCAGACAATACAGCTCTCCGTGGCTATCATTTTCCCATCTTCCAAGAGGGCTGGCTTGTCTCCCACGATCTGAACTTGCCATCCGTGTCTAGTGGGCTCTGTGTATCCTACCTTAAGCTTTCTCATGCTGGATCTCCACGCTTGCGTCTCTCCTGCCTCTCCTCAGTTAAAGCGGTTCTCCATTATCAGAACTTAGTAGACACTGGTGCAGTGCTCATGCTGACACCCAGGGCTGATTCTCCAGACTAGTTACATTTACTGCTTAATCTCCATTCTACCACTTGCTACCTGACAGATAAAGTATTCAAATGGATGACGGTTCCCACTCGCCTCCCTATCTCTCCCTCCCCTGAGTACCTGCTCACTGGGGGAATCAGACCTCTTAGTCTGGATATGGGAAGAATGAGATATCCCAGTTTATGGCCATGTGATCCTTGTCACGGTGACTTGTGTCACTGTAGTCTCTGTGGGGATCTTTGCAGAGGAGAGGGCCACAGAGCCTGTACCCCAGTATCCTGCTGCTGTTTACTTCCAGTTTCTTTCTTTTTGACACATCCAGAATCTTGTGTGCAGTCAATGGACAAAGCAACATAAAACTATCCCACCAAAGTCCCCTGGACACTCAGTAACTCTTTGGACATACCTTGACTGGATATGGTAGTTTGAATGGTAATGGCTTCAATGGGCTTATATATATTGGAACACTTGGTCCACAATTATACATTTGTGGAAGGTATAGGAGGTGTGGCCTGGAGAGAGGATTGGGGGTGTCAAAGGCCCACACTATTGCCAGTTATCTTGCTCTCAGCTTCATGATTTTGTGTCAAGAAATAAGCTTTCCACTACTGCTCCAGCACCATGCCTGTCTGCCTGCTGCCATGCTCCCCACCATGAAGGCCATGGACTCCCTGTCTGAAACTGTGGTCCCAATAAACTCTTTCTTCTCTAAGTTCTGTTGGTCACAGCGTCACAGCAATAGGAAAGCGAGACCCTGGACTGTCCTCACCTAGTAAACAGGAGCTTTGCAGACACGACCACACGAATTGCTGCAGCATTTCTGATCCCTAGGGCAGGATTCATCTCCAGAGCAGTTCTCAACACAAATTCCCCCACTATATGGGGGCAACGTGGGACACGCTCCAGGTTTTTCTAATCCTGAAATACACAGTCATGTTTATGGAATCTGAAGCAGTCGGAAAGACAAGGTTGAGAATTGATGCTAGAGGTCTATAAAGCCTGGTCACTTGCAGGAAAGCAGCTAATTCTGTATTCTCCTTTGTACCCCAGGGCTCTTCCCTCAGCTTCACCAGCTCCAGTCTCTCTCTGAGGCCTCAGTGTTTCCTGGCTGTGGGAGAGTGTGCTCCCTCCCCAAAGCCCATACAGTCTCAGCAGAAAGAACCTTCCACCATCCCAGCCCCTTCTGTACATCTGAGAAGATGCGGTAAACCCTCTAATGACAGCCTGACCTCTCCCATCCCACCATAGTCCAGCTTCATCTCTGAGCAATGGCTGCTGTGACCCCCACATCCAAGGCACATCTCCAAACTAGGTAAGGTTTTCTGATCTTTAACCCAGCTTCTGTCAGATCAACTCTAACACACTCTCTCTCTCCTTCTTTCTCTATCTCTCATATAAGTTATGTGGTATGATCACTCATATAGGTCAAAAGAAGTGAGTTTTGATCCACACAGTAAGCACATGGCTTTCCCTTGTGGCAGCCGGAGTCTCAGGCCATGGTGACCTTTAAGCCCTCTCTACTCTCAGCCTGTATTTCCTTAGCACCTTACCTGGGGTAGAAGCCAGAGTACAGGCAGTCAAAGCCAGCAGAACCAAGACTGTGGATGTCTTCATGTTGGCTCTGACTGTGTTGAACACACACACACACCAATTTATAGTCTCAGCAACTTTAGAAGCACCCGTGTGACAGGAGGCAAGCAATCAGCAAGTACAGAAAAAAAGAACTCTCCAGAAAGTGCCTGCGGATATCCTGGCTCCTTCTCTTTTGTAACTGGCTTCTCTTCAAATACAACTAGATTATTGTTTCCTGATAGGTAGGCTAGATAGCCAGGGGGGAATCTAAGTCTGTTTGAATACCGAGTTCCTCCTTACAGCACAGATTAGCCATTTATAAATCGGTGAGCAAAGGACAGCTCAGAGTGAGAGCTGAAGCGGAGAGGCCACCATGAAATGTCAGGGCCATGGAGGGAGGGGAGGGGTTCCCAGACACCCAGTTCTGTAAGACTGTATGTAGCCTGCTTCTGGGAGAGACGGAGCTTGTGCCGTTTGGAGCTCTACAGATGAGATCCCTAAACAATTGTGGAATTGATTCCCCTCTCTCCTGCCGAAGTAGGCAATGAGGTTTCCCCTGGAAGAGATGGATACTCAAAGATTAGCCAGTACATAGCAGGCAGGCTCCGCTGTGATGGTCGGTCTTCTTAGACCCATGCTTTTCTGTAAGACAGGACTTTAGAAAGAAAGCTGCACTGGTGAGCAGAGGAGGGATGGGAGCCACAGGAGAACAGACAGCATCCCTAGTTGCTGAAGAGAGTGCCTGTCTCGTGTGTTGCCCCAATTATAGACTCCCAAGAAAGAGCTGGAGTGGAAAAATGCTGCCAGCTGATGTGGGAGTGTCATGTATCAATCTGTTGATTTCGTTGGTTAAGTAATAAAGAAACTGCTAGGCCCATTGATAGGCCCACCCTTAGGTGGGTGGAGTAAACAGAACAGAATGCTGGGAGGAAGAGGAAGTGAGCTCAGAGACTCCACAGCTCTCCTCTCGGGAGCAGACACCTCAGAGAGACGCCATGCTCACAGCTCCCAGGCAGACGCACGCGATGAAGCTCCGACCCAGGATGGACATAGGCTAGAATCTTCCCAGTAAGCGCACCTAGGGGCGCTACACAGATGATTCGTAATGGGCTAAATTAATATGTGAGAATTAGCCTAGAAGAGGCTAGATAGAAATGGGCCAAGCAGTGATTAAATGAATACAGTTTGTGTGTTGTTATTTCGGGCATAAGCTAGCCAGGCATCCGGGGTGCTGGGGACGCAGCCCCGCCGCCCTTATTACTACAAATGGCGCTCGACGTGATGGACTAAACCCACTTAACTAACCTGAAAAGGCTTAAAAATAAAGGAGAGAGAGTTTAACACAGATTTTTGCTGTTTGTTGGTGGCGTGCTGTAAAGAGATTTCCTGATTCGGCAACAGCAGCAGAAAAAACGCTGTGTCATTTTAAAGCGCAGCTTCTTGGGGCTGTGCTGCCAGTGTGAACTCTGGCTTTAAAGCATTTGTGGCACTCTGCTTGCTAGAGGCAAGCAAGCGCTCTCATCTAAGAGAAGCTTCCTGACTCAGCTTTAGCTGCAAAACCCTGCAGCTCATTAAGAGGTCCTGCCACGAAACACTTAAATGGTGTTGACGAAAAGCTGAACGTATGCTTTTCGGTTTTCAGCTGTAGCAGGAAAAAAGCTGCACCGTTTAAAAATGCCGGCTTTCTGGGCTGTCCTGCCAGGGCAAACTCTGACTCTTTTACGCAGGCGATTCGTGCGGTTTGCAAGCACAGGCTGCTGAAGCTCGCTTGCTGGCAGGGACCTTGAAACGCCATAGAGTTGTGGCAGTAAACATGGCTAGAGTCAGTACCTCAGCCATGAGGCTGGAAAGCTAAGGAATGGGCTGGATCCAGCCGTCAAAGCCACGGCTTTAGTCCCACTGAGATTGCTTGGTAAATTAAAGACTCGTGTGGTCAGAAAAACAGAGAGAGATACAGTAAAGAGAGCATCAAAGACAAAGAAATTTTTAAATGATTTACAGCGTGTTAAAAATATATGCAGACTAAAAGTTAAAATTCTTAAAGTAAAAAACAAAAAAAAAGGAAGAGAGTTGTTGTGTGTGGTAGTACACACCTTTAATCCCAACACTTGAAAGGCAGAGGGAGATTGACCTCTGTGACTTCAAGGTGTGGTAGCACACGCCTTTAATCCCAGTGCCTAGAAGGCAGAGGCAAACAGATCTCTGTGAGTTCAAGGTGTAGTAGTGTACACCTTTAATCCCAATGCCTGGGAGGCAGAGACAGGCAGATCTCTGAGAGTTTAAGGACAGCCTGGTCTACAGAGTTATTCCAGGTCAAAGATATACAGAGAATATAAAATAGAAGTAAAAAGAAATGAAATAGAGATTAAAATAAAGCCGCGCGATGATGGAAAATACACAGAGACTTTTGATACTGTATGCTATTATGCTCTCTTTGAATTATTTGAATGCTGAGGAAAGAGCAAAAACTACTAAAAGATACTTGTTTATAAATGCTGCTGAACTAATCCAACATAGATATTTTGAAAATGCCTTGAATTTGAAATTTGGATCTAAGGACATGATGCTTTGGAAAGGAGTTTCTTATTTTGTTTTCACAGAGGATGAGACCTTGTTCATTTCTTCTATTCAGATTTGGTATGATGGACCACGCCCTCCTGAAGGGTTGGTGTGAACACCTTCAGAAAATTGCTTCACTCAACTGCCAACTGAGATGAAACTAGCACACAGGTTATACCATGAAAGACCTAATTAACGACGCCCCCATTCAGCAGGAAGCAGTTTGGAGAGAAAAAACTGTGCCCATGTTCCCAAATATGGTTTATAAATGTTCTTTTACATTTAAAGGGGGATATAATATAGATATGAATAATTTGCATTAGTATAGATTTTGTTTTATTGACATTTAAGGTCAATTTTGTTATATGTATTTGTATTTTTGATCTTTATTAAGGTATTGTGATTGTGTAGTTCATTTAAAAATGTAATATATATAGGTTGTTAATGGATAATCATTAATAATAGTCAAGTTTGTAGTCATGTTAGTTAGATTTTCTAGATATATAGATATATATTTAAGTTAGATTGGCATTCTTCATATCTTTCAAAGACTACGGAATATGCTATTAAATGTTTTAATAACTTAGGACTTTTCATGACAATGAGACACTCTGCTCCTGGCAGCACCAATCTACTTCAAGAAGAAGATGGGCATCAAAGAGGATCCTTATGGAGTTTGATAGCCATTTGGGCAAGAAACTGTTCTTGCCTGGACTATTGCATAAACTGGACACAGAGAATCCGCAGAGAGAGGACTGCTAAACTTGCCTAAAGGTGAGATGGTCTTTCGGGGTTCCTGATTCATGAAAGAGTCTGCGAGACATTCTGCAGGACACAACAGATAGTGACTGAACTGACTTTGAAATGTTCTGCTTCATGGAAATGTCTGCTGGATACTACGGGCCTGTAGGCCGAAGATGGATGCCCCAACGGTACAGAGAAACTTTGGGTGACTGTCCAGGCAGCGAGATGTCTCTGTCATTTCTAGAGTTTGAAAGTTGCTTTTTTCTTGTTTGCTTAGGTAATATTGTATCTTTCTGGAGTCCTTGATGGAATTAAGAATAGTTAGTTATAGTTATAGTTTTCCTTAGTTATGATAAAGATAATTGTAACTTTTACTTGATAGCTGTTTTGTTATATGTAATTTTGCTATGTTAAGGTTAAAGCCTTCCTTTTTTGTTTAAACAGAAAAAGGGGAAGTGATGTGGGAGTGTCATATATCAATCTGTTGATTTCATTGGTTAAGTAATAAAGAAACTGCTAGGCCCATTTGATAGGCCCTCCCTTAGGTGGGTGGAGTAAACAGAACAGAATGCTGGGAGGAAGAGGAAGTGAGCTCAGAAACTCCACAGCGCTTCTCTCGGGAGCAGACACCTCAGAGAGACGCCATGCTCACAGCTCCCAGGCAGATGCACACGATGAAGCTCCGACCCAGGATGGACATAGGCTAGAATCTTCCCGGTAAGCGCACCTAGGGGCGCTACACAGATGATTAGAAATGGGCTAAATTGATATGTGAGAATTAGCCTAGAAGAGGCTAGATAGAAATGGGCCAAGCAGTGATTAAATGAATACAGTTTGTGTGTTGTTATTTCGGGCATAAGCTAGCCAGGCATCCGGGGTGCTGGGGACGCAGCCCCACCGCCCCTATTTACTACAGCCAGCTGTGCAGGTGCCATAGCCATCAGGTGGCTGGCTTTGGAGTTGTCTTTGCAGGTTACTTCTCAGGATTCGGGGGGCTTTGTTTGGCTACAAGCTTTGCTCCATGAGTTACCAGTCCTTCCTTCGGATTGAGGAAAACAGTCTTGGTGCCTGTAACTTTTCCTGTTCTGCTGTGTGCATCCTATGTTAGAAACAAAGGCAGATCATGTGTGTTTGTTTATAATGTTATAATTTATGGAATAACCATAAATTCATAAGATCCAGCAGTTGTTTTCTATTTTCTATTTCTTTTCTTTTCTTGTTTGGCTGCAGAAATAAAGAGCAGGATCAGCCTGGCTGAAGGGACTGGAGATCAGAAGGATGACAGATCCAGGTGGTGAACAAATATTAGACAGATGAAGGAGCTATAAAAGGAGACCTAGTGTAGGGTAATAGGGCCATCCGAAGAAATCCACCCTGGCCCTGAAACCAGGGTCAGCCAGCAAAACAAAACAAAGCAAAAAACTCACCCTGGCCCTGATACCAGAGCCACTGGAAGAAACAATTTGGCCCTAAAACCAGAACCACAGAAACACAGTCTGACCCTGATCCAGAGCCAAAGAAACACAGTCCAGAGCAAGGGAAAGAAACACATCCTCACCCTGAAACTGTTAGGGTCTTAAAGAAGTCCCTCAAAGACCACAGGACTTGTATGCAATTAGCAAGAGTGTTTAGTGTTCGAGATAAAAAGAGATCTGGTGAGGGCTGGAGAGATGGCTCAGCGGTTAAGAGCACTGACTACTCTTCCAGAGGACCTGGGTTCAATTCCCAGCACCCACATGGCAGCTCACAACTGTCTGATGATCCAG